AATGGTCAGCGGTCCAAGTGGTGGGTCTGGAATGAGGCGCTGGATGAAACCAGGAAATCTGTTCGGCAGATTCAAATCTACCTGGATAGGATTGGCTCAGGTCAGATATTAAAGTTATTAACAACATTGTATTCATTATCGTTATCATCATCGTCCTCACCTTCACCATCACTACCACCATCATCACCATCACCGTTGTCTATCATCACCATCGTCATTCACCGTTTTCCATACATCGAGGCTGCTAGGCAGCTTSAAAGGATTATTGAAATTTGAACCCTGTAGCCTTAATTGAATGCTTTGTGTTGGACAAGTGAACAGATGGATGGAAAATGGTGAACGACTATCATCATGACCATTTCCATCACCGTCATCATTACCGTCATCATCACCATCGTCATTGCCATCATGACCATCATCATCGTGACCATCATCATCACCATTATCATCACCGTCGTCATCATCATCAGTATTATCATCTCCATTACCATCATCATCACCATTATCATAACTATCATCTCCATTACCATCATCATCTATATTATCATCAAAACAAACAATAGTATAGGTATGCTTATCTAATACTTTAGTATTAAACGACCCGTTTGTTTTATCCTCCTCCAGGCAAGGCAGCATCAATAGCCGACATGTGCATCACTCAATCAGAACTYAAGTCACGCCTGGGAGATTTCGGCCAGTACTGTCCGGTGAGTCTCGCAGACCGTGGTGAATTGGTCGACTGTTCTGTYACTCCTTCACTAGAATTCGCCGCAGAATTCCGAGGTCGTTATTATAAATTAAGCTGTCGCGCTGATCTGGGGAAGTTCCTGGCYGACCCAGCTCGTTATGTCCCTCCATTGGCGCCGAGGAAGTTACCAGACGTGCTTCCAGTCAGAAGGACTTCGGCAGATGTCAAAGCCATGTTCCCTATTCAAATTGAGATGCAAGGCTATTGTCCCGTCACATTTTGGGACGGAAAACAAAGGTGAGTAGAAGATTCTCTATCCTTGCCTCGCATCGTAACCATGGTAACCATTTTAAACYTCATAATTTATATGTATATGTGACGTCACAATCATTTATAACGTCATCACGTATATGTGACGTCATCATCTTTGAAAATGTAGTTTAATATCATAATGTATGTATGTGTGTGTGAATGTGTGGTCCTCGTTCCATGATCGAAACAAAAATCGACGGAATTTAAGAGTGTTTTTTTTTGTGGAGGGAGGAAAACCAGTCCTACTCACATTAATTCATTTATCTTTGGTAGATACGAGAGTATTGTGCCAGGAGATCCAGAGCTTGTAGTAGAATATTGCAACAAACTGTACTACTTCGCCAACGAGGAGAGTCTGGACAAGTTCATGCTGTTACCCGAGCTGTACCACGGCCTGAAACTGCCCCACAAACTGCCGCCGAGAAAAGACCCTCTGTCAGTGAACGGGCTTCCTATGTTAGGATTCATGGAGCAAACTGTATCGAATGCCATCACTAAGGCTCTAACTGCGGTGGGTTGCTTCAAACCAAAGTATCCATTCTTAGATGCTAAGAAATCTGCGCTAMTCTACGTCGCCTACCATCTCAAAGGTTCGTACTCACACTTTCATAATGCAATCTATGAGTGCTCAAATGTATAATAGTAGGACAGAGCACGGTCAATATCAGAGCACGCCTTCAATCTGTATCAGCTGGTAATACGAAATCATTTATTATGCCCTATTCCTAGTTGAGGTGTTAGGGTTAGGTTGTTTACTTTTTGGTAAAGGAAGTGTAAACTTGCTCCAAGCCGAACTCTCTGAGACCCACATAGTCACAGAGGTACCAGGGAAGACTAGGTCGAGTACATCACTTTGAATGGCTGGATCCACGTAAATARSTATTTATCTAAGGCACGGACCATTAGATAATAGAGGTGGGGGAGAGGAGGGCAATGGAGGGGGAAGGGGTGAGGCTGCGTAAATCCCCCAAAAATATCGAGCAAGCACTTCACCTACAAAAAAACATATCGAGCAACCTCTTCTTTCAATAAAGAAATATCGAACAAACACAAAACAAAATGTCTCAACTATCTTATGGGTCCATCCCTAATGGTAATAATTTATTCCTGCAGCGTACAATCCAAATAGTAGCGAATACTCGAGAAAAAAGTACAAACAGAAGCTGATGAATTTTGAAGAACAGTGTGAACTTATCAAGTACCTTGGACACGAAATGACCTCACGATACCGAGAACCAGACGAACGTCCGATCGACTTCGACCACAAACTCGACAACTTCTTGTCTCTCAAGGGGATGGAGGCTTAATTATAATCATAACAATAACTAATAWGCTAAGGAAAATATAAATATTACCCTAGATTTGTTTTGAAGTCGGAGAAAAATATGAAATCTGGATTAACGAATAAATAAAATGACGTCATTTTGATTATGCTATTGACGTCACTATTGTATTTGGATATGCAAATGTTTTTAGCGGTATGTGTAGATATATATATATATGTTAATACCTTCTTCATACTGCTAGTGTACATACCGAAAATGAATAAAACACCGATGTTTTTTATTTGTCAGCAATTTGGGTTCTTGTCCTTTATTCCAACAGTCTCATACCCAGAATTCTCCAGGCGCCTTCCTCTCTTGCAGGCAGCGCACTGGTAAGAATGTTATCGGCGCCAGCCCGCTGACCAAAAATAGKGATTTCATTTTCGAACCCATGGCCCTCGCAAAATTACATCAAAACTAAKACMCAMGGGTATTCTTGATATTCTGACATASGCATTCGCAAAGKGTTTGCATGTTTGKGAGCTGCAAAACTGRAGTATGCATAATATTAGCAACATTTGATTTTTCAATTTGGTGCATTCCATTCTCGTACCAAAACCCTTCTCAGCTTTTTAACGAAAAATCATTATCGTACCCAGACCCTACTCATTAGCCAAATCGTAGCCTACTATTTGGCCAATGAAACAAAGTAATAAGAAATAATATTGATATTCCTCAATACYAAAACCATTGTTTAAGGAAACGTATTTTATTCAAACTACAGTGTTATTGGCTGTCTGTACAGTGTTCTTACAAATATTCCATGTCTTTGCACAAACTATTTACATTAATATTAAGCTTACAAATCCTATTCCCTAACAAAACCGATATTTAAAGCCAAAACTACCGTGGGTGGGGTTCCTGYGGCTCTCTCGCTCCAGTGCTCATTCGCAATAACTCACGACCGAGAGGGCTCTGGAACCCTACCCAGAGTATAAGCCAAATCTGATAACTATTTTATTGAAATAAAACTAGAGTATTAATAGAAATTGAATATTTCAGAGTCAAAAACTGATGGAAGCTTTCAGTGAAATTTAATCGGATTAAAAAAAAATCAAATTTGAAATGCAATATAAATTGTATACGTATTTGTCGATACAAATCTAAAATGATAAAACCTATTTTTTCGAAGCGAATGTTACTATTTGATCCACTTTTTGAAGCCATTTGTGGAATGTTTCTTTTTGTTAAGATAATTTTGTATACTGGATAATAATTATGATGCAAAGGATATACTTAAGCCCACGGTGTTTAATTTAAGACCAGCTTTCCTCGCTCTAATGGTCGTTACTTTGAAAGCCATTTTTCACAAATGCTGAAGGTTATTGTGAATTATCACATAACTAGACTGAAGACATAATCTTCGGGATATAATACGCAAGAAAAATAATTGTTTTGTATGAATTGAATGACAATTCTTTTAGCTTAGACTAGATATTCAAGCAAGACCTTTGTTGATATTAAAAATGATAAGACACARCTTTCATGAAAGACGTGATGCATGAAGCCCTTAGATGGAAACTCGGGCTTATTTACGTTAAAATTTCCTGTTTTGAAATGGGACCCAGCACTGAGCCTTGAGGAACACCACTTCTCCAAAATAACTTTAAACGATATCAGCTTTGACCGTTTTGCTCTGTTCTATTGGGTCCGGGCGACGAGCCTTGAGGAACACCAATTTCGTTAAGTATAACTGACATCACCATTCACGTCCATTTGTTGTCGTTCCCATCTAGAAACTGTAACTCGACTYTTCGGCGTTCCATCATCGTTAAACATTTTCATTTTTTCCTTAAATCCTAATTTCTCTGGTTTCTTAGCAACGGGTGGAGGTTCCTTCCTTGTATCGTCCGTYAAAGATATTCGTTCCATTCGAACTCGGTTAGCCTCGAACGCGGAGGAATCGGTACTAGTTATTCTACCAAGCGACTGAGTTTCACGGATACCGCTKGATGAATTAAACCCACTGATATTATTATTGGAGCCACCGTATCTAACAGAGTCATTGAATTGTAAATTATCTAGGTCGGCTGGCGTGGGATAGGACACGGGCCGTGCCGCACGTGGGTATGTCCCGTAACTGGATACAGTGTTTTTRAACTGATGGCTGTTKGGAGGATATGGATAATCTGCCGGAAAGACGTCGCTGTAGTCACGTGAGTTGTGATCTACCGGAGATCTTGGRTCGCTGGAGCTCATGCTTGAAGAACTGGACGATCTGTCATTGAAYAATGTTCTTGGTGGGGGTGGAAACTGGTCATCGTCAAGGAGTTCCTCAGGGGGTGGTGGAGGAGGAAGTGGCGGGGGATCGTAGTCATCGTAATCATCGTCATCTGGAGGTGGAGGGCGCGGGATTGGTGGAGAATCCAAATCTGCTGGAGGTCGAGTCTGAACRAGCCGTACACTAGCAGCTGGYGTAATCTTAGCAGTATAGCCAGACGGAGACTCCACGACGTAAGTAGGAGAAGCTGGCTCGTGAAACTCGGTAGACAAGTTCGAGAATGACACCTGTTTTTTAGGTTTGGTCCCATTGGATGTCTTTAATACAGACACAGGCTTGGGTTGCTGATCGAACTTCGTCTTGACTTCTTCCATCGCCGTCTGACGAAGCTGTTCCTGATACCGCCCTTCGRCACGCTGTCGGTTAATTTCTTGATCGATAAGCATTCGTCGTCGYTCGTAGTCTTTAAGRGCTCTTTCCTTTAGCTCAATAACGTGGTCAGGTTCCCCTGTACTCCCGCGCGCAGACCTCATTCTTTGTTCTTCCTGCAGCTGCYTGCGAGCTTCGCCTTCTTTCTCGATCAATATTTTCTGTTCCTCCARTTTTCTCTGCAACTCGCGCTCCTGTTCCAACCTTTGTTGCTTGTGTTCCTCCTCCATCTTTCGTTCTGCTTCTTCTCGTATTCGTTGGATGTTCATTCGAACTACATCCTCTTGTTCTCTCTTTTGCTGAAGCTCACTTCGCTTTTTCATGATGTCCTCGTCTTCCTGGGATTTTCTATCCATTCGAAGACGYCCTTGTTCACGACGCGCCTGCTCATGCTTCTCTCTCTGCTGTCTTAACCAATCCTCTTGTTGACGTTCGTTCTCYTCTTGCTGTCGCCTTTGCATCTCTTTTTGTTTTTCTCTTTCTCCTTCGAAAACAACGCGCCTATCAGATTCCTTCCTYTCTCGTTCTAGTTCCTTTCTTTCTTGGATAATCATCTGTAGTTTTCGATCTCTTTCGCTTTGATCATCGCGCTCTGGATGATAAGTAACACGAGTCACCGACACCAACCCCCCTGCTCTTCTGTCCTCGTGAGTCCTGTCAAGACTTCGTCGCTTTCTATCCGCTTCGAGGCGACGTTGGAATTCACGCTCAACTTCTTCTTCATTCATTGCTTCTATGTAATCCAGAGTTTCTTTGCTTCCCTTGCTGGTGGAAGAAAGCATTTTACGTTCTATCTCAATGACGCGTTTTTTTTCCTTGGCTTCTTCTTGTTTCTTGTTCTCTTCCACAGATCGYTTCTTCTCTAATTCAGATTTTTCTCTTTCTTCTTGTTCTTTTCTTTGTTGCTCGAGATATTCTTTTCTTTCTCGCTCCAGTCGTTCTCTTTCAAGACGCTGACGTTCGAGTTCCTCGCGTTCACGTTGCTCGCCTTCACGTTTTTCACGTTCCCGTTGTTCGCGTTCACGTTGCTCGAGTTCACGTTGTTCACGTTCCCGTTGTTCGCGTTCCCGTTGTTCGCGTTCACGTTGTTCGCGTTCACGTTGTTCGCGTTCACGTTGTTCTCTTTCTCGCTGCTCACGATCGCGTTGTTCACGTTGCCTTGTTTCTTCTTGCTCTCTGCCTAATCGATTCCTTTCTTCCGCTTCACGTTCTCGCTGCTCGGCGACTTCTCGTTGTCTTTTCTGCCAGCGYTCGAATTCATCCTCATTGTTAACATCTTGCTTTTGTCTTCTATTTTGATCGATTGACTTTAAATTCTGAGCAACACTTTCATAGTCAAAGTTCGTTTTATTTTGTGACGAAGTTGGGCGTGCAGTTGGTAGCATTCCCTGCTTGATAACGATGGCTCGACCATATCGAGTATCGCGGCTGTGAACTCTGATAGGGCTCGTCGGAGGTTCTTCAGCGATTGGCTGTGAAAACAAAAACAAAAACCAAGAAAATGTTACTCAAAGTCAAATGTTTCTTTTGGATGCTTACTATCGACGTAATCGACTGTTTCCYCATTTCAGACCACCTGYCATTCCCTAGAGTATTATTTTCTTGSTTWAACAGTTACACATGAGMAGACACRTGAATATGAATACAACTCAAACAAAGAATCTTATTCTCTGGGGACACGTGGGCTGAAATGGGCAAAAAATTATGCTTAAGTGGATTTGGTCCATTAAGCAGAAAAATCTAGTTCCGATGACTAAGGCTTAATGGTAAGGCAATATYTTTCTGATGGATATTCTTGACTACGACTGTCAGCGGGGGAGTGAAACCGAGATATTAGTAATTCCGAAAGGYATTTTCGGAAAATGATCGTACTATTATTATTGTTCGACGATTTTTGATAAATGTTAAGCACCCTCTATATCGCAAACATAGCTACTGGTGCTACTCATTTTACCTTTTACAACCTATAAATTTCAATAGACCATTTTCGAATTCCAAATTACCGCTGTGCTCCTTGATTACAGACAGATTACTAAGGGTTAGCCTCGCATCAGTGTCTAAATATTCACAAATACCAACGGTAAAGTAAAGAACGCACAACTTCAGCAAAACAAACATTTTGAAATCCCAAGGACCTTCACTGGAACGCATGAATATTCTACGCAAACACAGGGAAGCACGTGTGGGGTAGCGGTGTGAGCGCTCGCCTCTCATCAATGCGACCCGAGTTCGAGTCCCGCCGGGTTCAGTGTTGTATATGAGTAGAGTTGTTTGTTGGTTCTCTCCTGTGCTTCGAGGGTTTTCCGGGTTCCCCGGTTTTCCTCCCTCCGCAAAAATCAACTCCTAAATTCCAATTCGATCACGGAATGAGGGCCACAGGTTTGTTAACCACTGGCTATTAAGTGCTACCCTCGTGAAAAAAGGACGTTTAAACTCGAGGCTAACTTTTAGCATCAGAGAACTCGAACTGAAGTATTAAAGAGAATAACGCGGGCTCTATCAGATAATACCAACCTGTTTGTTCCCCGGCCGAGGAATGTTCAACGAGCTTGGTCTTACATCTTTACTTTCTTCATCGAGTCTTTCAAATGCGGCATCCATAGTAGACATATCTTCTTCACTTAGCTTGCCACGTATAACGACGGGTTCCTCCTCATAGTATTCATCYTTTGGTTTTTTACTAATAGGAGTAATCTCTGGCTTTTCTGCCTCGACGGTTGCCTTCAGTTTAGGCTTGAATATTTCTTTCTCGGGTTTAGTTTCGATTGGTTGCGGGGAAGATCGACTTTGTTGTACCGTTTCAACCTTGGGGGCATTTTCAGCAGCTATTACTTCATCTTCAAAACGAATTTTACGCGTTCGCTGTTTGTTTTCCATTGGTCGGAGTCTTTCTTCTTCTTCGGAACGTCTTCGTTCTTCGGCGAGMCGTCGTTGGTCCTCCATTCGTCGGTACTCTTCTCGTTTTCTYATCTCTTCGCGCCTTCGCAGTTCTTCCATCTCTTCRTGTCTACGTYGTTCTTCCATTTCTTCGTGTCTTCGTTGTTCCGCCATTTCTCGTTCTTCTTCAACGAGTCTTCGTTGCGCCATTAAAGCCCTTTGTTCTTCTTGGAGTCGTCGAGTTTCKTCCTCAGCTTTTTTCTGACTTAAAACTCTTTTGCGTTCTTCTTCGATCATTTGTTTCTCTTCAGCTAGCCTTCGTTCCTCCTCAACGAGTCTTTGTTTTTCAGTTCGTTTTCTTTCATCTTCCTTCTTTCTTTCCTCTTCCAGGAGTCGTCTTTCTTCTGCAAGCTTCCGCCTCTCTTCCTCAATGATTCTTCTTTCTTCCTCCATACGTTTGCGTATCCATTCCTCCTGAACACGGAACTTCTCATCTTCTTCTTCTTCTCTTCTTCTTCTTTCTTCTTCCTGCTTTTCTTGGCGTATTCGTAGARCCCGTTTGTCTTCCTCCTCTTTTCTTCGTCTTTCTTCATACAATCGCTTTTCTTCTTCTTCTTTTTTAAGTCTTTCCTCRTAGAGTCGGTCTTCCTCTTCTCGCCTGATTCTCTCTTCTTCCTCCGATCGCATTCTTTCTTCTTCCTCTTCCCGGATTCTGTCCTCCTCCTCTTGTCTGATTCTGTCTTCTTCAGCTTCTCGTCTCATTCTTTCTTCATTTTCTCGTCTCATTCTTTCCTCATCCTCTCGTCTCCTTCTTTCTTCAAACATCCTTTCTTGTTCTTCTTTACCGCGTCTACTTTCCTCTTCTTTCTGCCTCCAGCTTTCATCGCGCATGCTCTCTTCGTCTTCCAGCTGACGAGCCGACTCATTTGCATAGGAATCGGACAGCCATCGCCCCGAAGAACGAATGTCATTTTCTGGTAATGTTGGCGATAGCTGCATTGGCTCTGGTTCAGGTTCAACAGGGGTTAGTTTCCTCGGTGCGGGTGCCGTTTCTAAAGATAGAAAATGAAAAGGTTAACCAGAATAAACGGACAGTAACTATAATCTAATGACTAATGTAATTCTAATCTAATGACTAATGCAATTCTAATAGTATTTCTAATGCAATTCTAATAGTATTTCTAATGTACCTCAAAGTCGTGCTGAACAGGGCCAAACTAATAGAGCCAAAAAATACTTCCAGGGGTAACATTTCACACACAAAGCCCACGTCACATGCTCCCTAACTCAATTGCAGATCTGACATCGTTCTCTCCACGTGATAAGCACGTGAGCAGAAATAACTCGCCTTAACTACTTCCGTGCCCTAACATATTTTTGGTTATACAGTTGGTTAGGGCGCGGCCTTCAGAGCTAGATCCACAGTTCGATCCTCGACTTCTCTCTCATCCATATAGCTTCAGCTTTGATTAGTYTTAAAACGGAGCACAGATGGGGAGGGGCGGGGGGAAGTGAAGTGTGCACCGTCCGCAGTCTGAAAGAAGAACTTCTAGCTGAAGGAACACTGACGTCAAACTATACTATTCCTTTACATTCCACACACATGACATCACTCGATATGCATGTGACTTTGCCATCAACACTTCCCTGCCCACCCAAAGAGACGTGCAAGTGACGTGCATATCGTGACCGGAAGTGAAGTAACCGGAAGTGACGTGAGCTACCTCTATTTGGTGACTGTTGGATRAGCATGGTTGCAAGTCCATGATATATCGCACCCTGCTTTACAATCTTCAGGGTGACGATGGATCCAGATTTCACCATGACCTCTGCAGCCCTGAAAAATACAATACATAGCTATGTAAGCTTGCCAGATGACATTTACTTCCAAAATATACGCATACGCTCTTTAATGTACGAACATTCATCAATAGACCTGGCGTACTGTTAAGAATAAGATTCTTTGTTCGATTGGTGTATCCATATTCATCTRTCTTCTCATGCGCAAACAAAGAAATGATACTCTAGGGAATRACACGTGGTCTGTGATGTCACCAGTATGAACACAATCCATTGCCAAATCAGGACGGCGGAGCACTTTTTAAAGTGAATACAAGAGGGCTAATGTCTTCATATTTCTTCGTAATCAAACTCAAACTAAGACAAAATGAGATGTGATTGACCAAATCTACTTTGGCGTAATGTTTACCCATTTCAGACCACGTGTCTTCTCATGCGCAACCGTTAAACAAAGAAATGATACTCTAGGGAATGACACGTGGAATGAAAWGGGAAAACATTGGATTAGGTCTATTCTCGCAAGGGACGGGGGAATTTGGCGCCGTCGTCTCTGMATATGGAAACGTTAGCAATGCTCAGGAAACATCCAGAGATACTTTAAATCATAGTACCTCTAACGTCACTCGATCCAAAGACACGTTTTTCTTACCTTTCTTGTGTGACTCCCACAAGACTTTCTCCATTAACTGACAAGATCTGATCTCCAGCTTGCAGTCTGCCATCCTACGAGAACAACAACAACAATATTTCAGAAAATCATGGAAATCATCTTTTTCCATTCAAACCACAGGGATCCCAGTATTCAAGGCCAAGCAGCAGTCTACATRCCTTTGAAGCAGGACCATCCTTGACAACTTGTTTAATGTATATACCGAGCTTGTCTTGACGAATGCCCTGGAATAAAGCAGCAGAAATATCGATATATGAATCAAATGCAAAATGAAATACGACTTAAAAAACGAGGTGGGGAGGGGGGGGGGGAATATTTAGGAGGGGATTTTCAGATACCTTTGCTGCAACAATGCTCAGTCCCATACCACCACGGCCTTTGTTGAACGAGACTTCTTGGATATCAGGTGTAATGGTTGCAGGCACATCCACACCTAGAGACAAAGGATGGAGTTGAAAAACAAGGCGAAGAAAGGCGTTGATGTTCCCTATTTAACGTAATCCCTAACCCAACCCCTAGGAGAATTTTGTAGGGGTAGGGGATGGGGCAGGTTGTGTATCTGCTCTACAAGCAGTGGGGATGGTAGACTTGCCACAAATCGACCATTTTTTTTTGTAGGGGGAGGGGGTGGGGTGTGTACCTGCTCTGAGAGCAGCGGGGATGGTAGACTTACCACAATTCGACCATTCTTTTTTGTCCGTGAAAACGAGTGAATAATTACGAATTATTTTTGCGAGCAAAAGAGTCGCATGTGTCCACTTTTTCCCTTGAAGAAATTCCCTTTGCGTTTCGTGCCAAAAATACCATCAAATTTGCCTAATTGGGTGGATGCTATAACCTTTTGACTGACTAAAAACCCGTCGGTAAATTTGGCGGGAGACTAAGATGGCAAGATACCAGTCCCGCGCACCAGCAAATAACTGAATGAAAAGCGGGATCGTCTAAAAAGGCCTAGAAAGTATACCGAGTTTGATCGCTAGCTATTTCTTATGAAGTTGATATATATATTTTTTCTTACTTGATTCCATATGTTTCCTCTGATAGACAGTCCACAGCCCAGAGGTCTCAGGTTGTATTGTCAGCCTACAAAGACCTGTATTTGCAAGCGGCTCGAGGAAGCCCYGAAGTCCTGGCGGGACACCCCGTATAACATCACACGAATAACCATCTTCCGGGAGAAGGAATGGGAGCTGGAGTTCCGTCTCCTCTTCTCGCTGGATTTCTTGACCGTTGCTACGGGCAACTTCGTCAGCTTTTTCTTCTGCTGTGGCGACTAAGAGTTCAATGTGGTCCTATAAAAGGAAAAGGAAAGTAAACATGATCGATCGACGCCTTTAAGTGAGGACTAAATCAACGTTTCTAAAAAGGGCGGTTCTTACGTATGARTCGCAAACTTCCGGTACTGACTTGCAGCTCATTACGATACGACATTCCGTAACATTGAAATGGTTTCACATTGTCAGTAATTCATCCAATCGCAAGGAGAAGATAATTTACAAGTACGTGTATGGCTACGAATTTGCACATATACCGTCTCCCAATCACACGGAAACAGCTCTAAAGCACCTTCTGCGTAGGGCAAAGCTTAGGATTGGCAACAGGTTACGAGTTGAAGATCGACTTCATAGGCCGCCATATTGCTTAAGTTTAGTCTAAAATCTTAAGTATCCGCACCCTCCCCTCCTCTAGCTTGACTCAAATGTCAAACGGCTTCCCCCCAGACTCACCTGTGACAAGTACTCATCAGGAGCTGGTCTGTAGTTTTCCAGAAGGGTTTTTATCTGAAGAGAGTTGAGCTTGAAACACGACGAAGAGATGGCATTGATGTCAGCTGACGAGTTCTTTGGTGCTTGAAGAAGATGAGCAGCCTTGTGGATGAAGAAAAAAATCATTGGTCGAAAAATGTTACAGATATAATAAAACGTTATTTATATGTTTTGGCTAAAGACCACTGCACGATGACCAAATTTCAGGTCCAGTTATCACGAGTAGAAAAAAGAACCAGAAAATTACCGAAAACGCACAGGTCATTAATGGACTACTTGGACGATTAGGCGGCCATATTGCCAGGGGGCAAAACAAAACAAAGATGACGGAAGATATATAGAGATTCGTGTGTTTGTCTTTCTTTTCTGGGTAAAGGTGATCGATGTGCCGTCTTAATTCATCTTTTGTTGTATTCTCTTGTGGTGAGCTGTTAATATCAATCGACGTCATTACTGCAACCAATTTTTTTTTGCCCCCTGGACGCCCCACAGTACCTTGCGATCCAAGATGGCCGTCGTATCGTCGAAAAAGTCCAATGGTAGAACAAACAGCAATTAGAAATTAAACGCAAATAACTTGACTTAATTTTATCCAATCAATGCGGCTTTAAAATTTTAAGAGTATTCTAGGAACCAATGGGAAAAAAGGAAAAAAATTAAGGCCGATTTACACGGTTTTCTTCACAACTGTCGCGCGCAACATACTGACGCCAAATTTAGCTGCCATTTACAGTCGCCTGCATGTTACGCGCGATATTTGTGAGCAAAAAACGCAATCTCCTCCCAAAGGCCCTCTTACGTCTTGGCGTGAGAAGGTCCTGGGGACGAGGTTGAAAAAATCGGCCATTGAGACGAAAAAAACACCTTCAAATTCAAACAATTTTCCAGCAATTCCTAGAGTAGTACGAATYCTGTTTCATGATAAATGACAAGATTTACAAGGAACGAGAGGATGTAACAAAGCTATCAACCGTTTGACTGAACAGGCTCCCTAGTTCTCCTAACCTACCTGTGCAATTCGACAGAGATGACAGTCCGCAGCCAACTCCAGTCCTTGCTTCTCGGCCCATTTTTCTACACGGGCGAGTCTTTTGCTAATGCGCCTGCCCCATTCTCGTGTACAGAGATCAAGCTTGGGCTCTAAAACGAGCTTGTTGAAAAGCCACATGTTGATAAAATGGAAGAGCTGCGAGAAGACTTGGATTGTTAGGGCTGCGTTGACTCGACAGCGACGAAGAAGGGACATGGTTGAGGTGAGGTTGTAGATGACCTCTGATACGGTGGCTCGGGCGAGGACTCGACGTCCTCCTTAAGAAAAGAGGAAAAAATGTAAAAAGACATTTACTACATTCTGTAATTTGCTGGATTCATTACTGCCATTTTCATAAACATTCGAACTCGTTAGCTGCGAGCTTCMCGCTGAAGTTTGTTCTTTCGCTGCCATCAGTCAYAAATATAAAAACAATTCTCCAAATTACTGATTGAAGACAACAAGCAAATGCAAACACTATTCACGAAAACCACWCCAGACGGGCTTACTGAGCAAACCAGTAAAACCTGTTTTCAGTACGTCAAACCTGTTCTGTCTACCTAGTTCTCACATCAGGATAACATACCACAACTCAAAGTGACATCTCAGCATGCCAAACCTGTTCTGTTTATACCTACACCAGATAAACCAGTTGAACCACCCAAACCTGTTTTCCCTAACAATCCMATCCAGACAAAGTTAGTCTCCCATCAGGACCACACACYACAACTCAAAGTGACATCTCAGCATGCCAAACCTGTTCTGTTTATACCTACACCAGATAAACCAGTTGAACCACCCAAACCTGTTTTCCCTACTGTAACTATCCAATCCAGACAAAGTTAGTCTCCCATCAGGATAACACACCACAACTCAAAGTGACATCTCAGCATGTTGAACCTGTTCTATTTATACCTACACCAGATAAACCAGTTGAACCACCCAAACCTGTTTTCCCTACTGTAACTATCCAATCCAGACAAAGTTAGTCTCCCATCAGGACCACGTACCACAACTCAAAAGTGACATCTCAGCACGTCAAATCTGTTCACCTGCAAACCAGCCRAACAAGTTAAACYTGTTTTTACTTACCAAACCAGCTATCTGCTCCAGACAAAGGTCTTCCATCTTGGCCATATTTGTTCTGCACGCGGAAGCTCCTTCCATCAGCCGGCATTCCAACGTGATCGTTATCGCTGTCATTCATCGAGTCCAGGTCACTTTCTTCCATATCTGCTTCGTCTGTCGGGTCCAGGAATGCAGACATGCTGGTTCGTAGCTCGTGTTGGACACAGAGAACAAGGTGGCGRAAGGCYAACTGMACTGAYTGAGCCAAGACTTGTTGACCGTCCTTAGTGTACGGTGAGATGTCTACGTCTTGTTTKATGAAGTGAAGGAATTCAGAACAGTTGGCCATCCAGAATGCAAGGCTTCCTGGCATATCTGCATTTTCCTGTTTGGGGGAGGTGAAAATATTCAGTTTGATACTCTTGGTTGATAATAAGTGACGGACAGTAATTACTATTGTAGGCTGGTAATGAGATTCATTCAGCTGATTGATACCAAGCAATAGAATACTCTCTGGTTGATAGCACATGACGGGCAGTGTTTGMCTGTCATTGTAGGCTGGTAATGAGATTCATTCMGCTGATTGATACCAAGCAATAGAATACTCTCTGGTTAATAGCACTTGACGGGCAGTGTTTGCCTGTCATTGTAGGCATTAACARCACGCAATCAACCGATCGCTTAAAGCAATATAGCGCAGAATCAGTGCGCGCTTTTTTGTGTGTGCCACATTACCATATCCAACGTACCCTGATAGTAGAACGGGCCATGTTGGCAATCTTGAGTATCGTAACTCCAAGACGTTCACCTCGCTGATGCTCCATCAGGTCAGATCTGTAATGAGGCGACAGACGGTACCGTGAACACATGTAAAGAGTGTAGGTCGGTGCCAGCTTGAAATGAACAGCGAGACCGTTCACTTCGCTGATGACGGCAGCAAAGAAAGCGTCCTCTCCGTTCTCGCGGAATTCCAACGTTGCAGGAAGCTTGTCGTCGTATATGTCTTCGTTACTGAAGGATCTCTTGATGGGGGAATCGGGTGGTTTACTGTATGTGTAAGGCTCCTAGAAAACACAAAAATATTCAACCTAATTACTATGCACCTGTATTGGTTGGTCCGWCAGTCTGTTGAGCGGTCGGTTTATTTTTCGATCAGTCTGTTGAGCGGTCGGTTTATTTTTCGGTCAGTCTGTTGAGCGGTCGGTCTATTTTTCGGTCAGTCTGTTGAGCGGTCGGTTTATTTTTCGGTCGGTCTGTTGTGCGGGATGCGGGAAGTCGTGGGTTCAAGCCTCCGCGGCCGGACCAACGCTCAGGGTTTTAGGGTATCTCAGTAAAATATCTGTAAATGGTTGGACCTTCGCCGTGGCATGGATGACCACGTATAATGGAACTCCYGTCTCACGTTGAGACGTTAAACATATAGGGCTACAACAGTCTGCAACTGGCACGTGTCACACACTAAATAAAGAAGATTTTATTGCAAAGAAACTGAAATCAACTTACGGTCTCCCTCTGTCCCCCAGTGTACGTCAACACTTCTCCGCTCACATCAAACGTGGTCTCAAACATTCCCTCTGGATGCTCGTCCGTGTCTACATCAACATTGTCATTGATGTGGTTGTTATGGTAACTGTTGCTATGKTGACTTGGTAGAGCAGAACCTAGCGACTGTGGCCTATAGATAGTAGAAATGAATCTTATGTGAAATTATATAAATTATTGTTACATCAAGCCTGCACGTTGGATGATACGACAAGACACCAACATATATCCAGCATGGCGGCTTTAACATAATACCAACGTTATAAAAATTGAACTGTTTGGTATTGACCAAAAGATCAACACGAGAGTTGAGAGCAGTGTCATAGTGGTAGCGTGTTTGTGTTGAAAGTGGGCCAAATCGGAAACCAGCATTCCTATGGAGTTTGTTTATACACTAGAGATAAGTACGATGAGAGTGATGACGGCAATGATTATGCATCACTTGATGATGATGATGATGATAGCAACTATGATATGTGATTATGGTGATGACGATAATGATGGTTATGATGGTGGTGGCGATGTTGATAATGATGATGGCAATTATGATTTGTGATGGTGATGTTGATCATGATGTTGATGATGATGGTTATGTTGATCATGATGATGATGATGCTGGTGATGATGATGATGGTGGTGATGTTAATCTTGATGATGAAGATGGAAACTATATGTGATGGTGATGATGATGGCGATAATGATAATTCATCACGCACCACAGGGTTCCCAATTACCTCGGTTTCCTCTGCACATCTATATCACTATTACTGCTAATACTCCCATTGTCGCCATAGACCGGCGCGCTGTGCCTTTGTGGTTCATACGCAGGATCACAGAACCTGAACGTGTGCGATCGTCCTATCTTMACAACATCTCCATGTTGTAGCTGCGTCGTCTCATAGATCCTCTTTCCATTGACTAAAACCTCTGCGTCGCCACTGCTTGGAGTCACTGACACTCGCCCGTCCATGTTAGTGATGACACAATGCCGGGGCAGGATGTGAGGAGCATATAAATGTAGATAATTGCCTCCAGAAGCGAACGTCTTCTCGCTGCCTACTTCCGTTGCAATCATTTGAAGGCGATGCATTCGTGGTTTGTAATCTAAATCGTTACCATCCGATGACAGCTCAAGTAGGTATGGAAGAAGATGATCTGGATAAGCAGCGTTTGCCAGTCTCTCGGCAACAGTTTTATCAGGGGATAAATCCATGGGCTTTCTCACCGGAGACTTTGACCTCCTCTTGTCTCGCCTGTGCTGAGGCAAGTTCGCACGTCTTCGTAGATGAAAAACAACAGTCCCTCTATTAGAAGGCCATGTGACTGCTATTTTCAGTGGGCAATCATCATCATGTACGACTCTTTCTTTCCCTAGAGTTGCGCTAGTGTTTGTCCCTTCTGCGGGAATATTAACCATCACTAGACAATACTCTTCTGGATCTTCTTTCTCCATCTGGTATTTTATCAGAGCCTCCTTAATCACATGTGTTGTCGTATCATCCACTGATACTAATAATGTTTTATAAGGGATCTCTGGTTTCAGAGTGTTCGCAAAAATCTTTAGCGTCCCTCCTGCGGGGCTGTCTTTGCTCTGGAAGTCTTTCAATCTTTTTTCTAACTTCTGCTGTCTTCGGCGTCGCATAACGGCTTCTGGATTCGATATGCTTCGCGTGAAACTTGTCTCAGGTAGTTCATCGTAAAGATGTTGAGCGATTTGGTTGTCGTCTTTGCCAGATTTCTCAGCAGCTTTCTTGGCTTCTTCTCTTTGTTTTTTCAGCTGTTTTTTCTCTCGTTTTGAGAGTCTTCGCTTAAGGTTCTGCACCGCTGTCCCTTCCTGCGGAACAGCCTTGTCTGATGACTTCACATCAAACAAGTTGGAGTGAACTATTTTATCGCTATCGCTTTTCAAAAGAAAGCGTCCTTCTCGGTCACCAAGTTGCCACTCTAGTTGTATTTGAAGTGGGTACTCATCCATCCGCAGTTTTCGTGCATCTGGGGAAATGTGATCAAAAAAATACTGTCAGATATCAGAATGGCCATCTCTCTATATACACCTATTTCAAAAAACGTTGTCGGTCGGAGATCTGAAATCTGAGACCAATTAAGGAATTGTGGGTTGTAAGCTGTAAATTGTTTGTGGTTTTAATAAGTAGTTCGCAAAAAGTTAATATCTTGATATACTAACTTTGAGCGATGATCTGCGCTGGCAAACTATCTGGGTAAGTGTATATTGAATTTTGAACGAGAAAACACTCATTCCCTTAAATTCCAATCGGTCTCAGATTTCTGATTTCAGATATCCTACCGACAACGTTTTTTGAAATAGGTGTATACAGTCATTCCCATTATTCATTCATTCCACATACCAGCTCAATTTCATTTACTTATTCCATTCATCCATTCATTCATTCACTCTAGTCTCTCAATCCATCATGAATGCATTCCATTCATTCATTCTATTTACTCGTTCATTCCCAAATTTTCATTTTTTCCTTCAAAATCGAATCTTCATTATTTTGGATGGAGTCAGAGTTAAATTTACATTACCTTTGATTTGTTGCCAAATGCTTGCAACTCAAAACTATTTAAAGCTATATAGTTGCCACTATTTTTTTTTTTCAAATAAAATGTTACAAAAATTTACAAAATTTATACAAAGTATAAGAATAAATTACTTATTCTAGGGTAAAATAGAAATTCTTTTGAAAATTTGTTATTCTCATTATCGAAAAAAATTAATAATACCAACTATATTTAATGAGGGTGGCACTAAATAGCGTACTACACTAATAAACTTGTGGCCCTCAATAAACCAAATATATTCTGCTCAGTTTTACGACATTGCTAATGACTTCAAAGTAATAATCAAAGTCAAACTGGTTATAACATTCCAACAGGATTATCTTGGCTCAACATATTTAAATTAAGAACTCCACATGAATTTCAGAGATGTATGGAAATAAAATACTAAAAGCACTAATAATTTGTCAGAAACGACATGTAATGAAATATTCATCTCTGATTTATAATAAAAAATGTAGTGTATTCAAACCTTTAGCTACCCAAAAACAGTTGGTCACCAAAAATACAAGTACCCCAAACTAATACCATGCAGGACTCTATGAGCTTAGCATATATTGAAATTTGTATCTATAGTATGTCTTCTTGGAGCGGAGCAGAAGTTCAGATTAGATTATTTTTTTAGAACTTAAATGTTTTTAGTCGACAGATATACTGTTTTTAATTATGGCTCACTGCCATAGGCTGAATCTGTTTACAATTCATTTATATTACTAAGTCCATATTGCTTGATGTGAAAAAGGTTGGTCAATAATGAACAGCTATGTCAACAGACAGTTATGTTGACTGTCTAGGGATAGCAGACACACATAAAGCAGACAGAGATTAAAAATCGGTTACTAACTAATCTTTGAAAAAGCAAGGCATGTATATATCTTTAATGAGCTGCTAACTCGTGGTGCAGTTTTCTCTACACTGACAACTTACACAGATTAATTTTTGTTCCAATAAAAAAATTACAGTGTCTGGCAAGTCAATTTGTGTATACAGTTAAGAAACCTATTAATTTTGATAATACCTATAAACAACCTTTGGGTTTATTTAAGTCAAGGCACTGCTAACTCACAGATTGAAAAACCTCTGAGCTTATCTAAGTCAGGGCATGGCTAACTCACAGATTGAAACAACCTCTGAGCTGATCTAAGTCAAGGAATTGCCAACTCACAGGTTAAATTGGAATTTGGCATGAAAATAGATTTAGAATGTTGGAAAAAAAATTCAACCAAAAATTTTTCCATGGGGCTTGAAAAGTCAAAAATCTAAAAAGACACGATTTTAGAACATTACTAGTGTAGTTCATGTTGAAATTTTGGTGCAGCATTGTTATGAATGTGAAAAGATAAATGAAGTGATAGTTTTTGTCAATGCTTTTCAAATCCTTTTTCCTGACATTTTTTGGCGGGAAAACTATGAAACTTAAAATTTCTATAACTTTTGACTGCCTTGACCAATCAGGAAACAGTTTTCAAATCCATGTTGGTTATCTCAAGAAATGTCTAAAAACACATATTTTACGAAGCATGAATCTGGTTTAAATTATATAAAATCATTAGAAAACAATATGATGACGTAATTATGACATCATAGCCATAACAGCAACACTAAAATGATTGATTTTAATCTGTTGGGTCAACCCTGATATTCTTGCCAAGTGTGATGAATTTCTGACTTTTAATTTCAAAACTACTCCAACCTTGCCGATTTTGGGGTCATTTATGCCCATTGTGTATGGATTAGAAGAGACTAGCAAGGACTACCAACCCCTGAAGTCTTCATATTTGGACAATCGATATGGAYGGGTTGTGACAACACTGTGTGTTATATTACCTGTGTAATATGATCGATGATTGCAAAAATGCGTGCTAAAAAGACATCAAATCATTGTAACATTTGATGAAATTGGTTATTCCTGACCAATCAGATTAATGCTCATAATGCAGTGCGTAGCTTGCAAGAAATTTTGCAATTTCAATCAGAAAAAGTTTTGATTTCGCTAGCAATGCAAAATAGCACGAATACCACTAAAAATAATTATTCAAGTTTATCGTTGTAAAAGTCTCAAAAGAAATGGCAAACATTTGTAAATGACTACGAATATCCAGGAGATTTGGAACACATACTAACCGGGAAAATGTTGCAAAACAGGTACAATAATCATGTTGRTACACTTTTATGTTAAAAATAACAGTAGTTGTATTTGTTAATCAAAACTCTAAATCATACATGTCATACCCTGCTAGTATAGTACTGCCTAGATATTAAAGTGCACATGAACCCTTCGACAATACTTTCAGTACTGATTCTACACGAAGTAAATAGTTGAATGGTAAAATATTTCTTGATTTGAGTG